GACCTCGTAGAGACGAACGACATGACACTTCCCTCTCCTGTCATAACAGAACTTAGTAATAAAAAATTACCACTGACTGGTTCTAACACTATCCCTATTGGTCCAATTCTGTCTCCTTCACTTGCTGTCCATACTTCTTCAGCAGAAGAAAATAATGTGTCTGTGACTACAGAAAATGATTTGTCTGTAACCCCTTTACCGGATAGCGAACAATCAGTTACAACTGATAAGGATGTACCTGCACCTACGAGTGCACGACCCCAATACGCGTTTCGCTCATTGCCAACAAAACAATCTGCCTTTGTCTCTGTGCCATACTTTGAAACAAAAGAACCGTCTTTTGCTAGCCTGTCTAACCTTGCTTCTCAAAGTCAGGCTAACATGGACTACCACAGTGACGATGACAGTAGCTTTGGTATGACGACTGAGGAACTCGACACTTTCGCATCTGACAAATTAACTATCAGACACTATGCTGCTATTAAGGATGCAGTAGAACACGACAATAGATTTCGAATCGAAATCCGTGCATTCAAGAGGACACACCACGCGTTAATAGATACTGGTGCTACACATTCTTTTATCAGACAGGACATAGTCAAGGAACATAACATTCCTTTCACTAAGATCCTTGGTAATTTTACACTAGCAAACAAGACTATTGTCGAACGCATTGGTGTAACTGATCAAGTTGAATTCGAATTCAATGGTCGGTTTCTCTCTGCCCCTTTTGAAATAATCGAAGATCAAGAGTTTGCTCTTACAATCGGAATGGATCTTTTTTATCATATGGGCTTCGCTCTCTGCGGTCTCCCAGAAATAAAAGAGATGTCACCTGCACATGATGTTCCCGTTGAAGACGAGAAACCATCTTTGCGTCCGATTACCACCCCTGAAGAGGAACTCACCGCTGAGTTTAAGCGCATGAAAGGAAGATTCCTAGATGCCATCAGCAAAGCACTCAAAGACAATGAAAATATCTCAAAGACAAGTCATTGCCCCGTTCCTGAGATGATGGTGTATCTACCTGTTCCAAAAGGTACCATTGTATATCGACGACCTAGACAATTTGCTCACTCCCAGAGACCCATATTGGATGAAACGGTCGCACGCTGGCTAGAGGATGATGTGATCGAGCTTGCACCTGCTGGCAACCCACATAACAACACCCTCACACTTGCAGCTAAAAAGGATTTGGATGGGAAAAAGTCATTGTGGCGAGTGTGTCTTGACCCTCGTGCTCTCAATGTACATTTACCAGAGGATAATTTCCCTCTCCCTCTCATCTCCGATATTATGCAAAAAGTAGCTGGTCATTCCATCTACAGCACCATCGACCTTACACAGGCGTACCATCGTCTACCTATTCATAAAGAAGACAGGCACCTCACTGCTTTCATGCATGAGGGAAAACAATACATGTTCAAAAAGGCCCCCTTTGGTCTGAAGCCACTCTCGAGCTTGTTCCAAAGAGGTATGTCTCGCATCCTTGACGATTTGCCTTTTGTTCTGAACTTTATTGATGACATTGTTATCTTTTCAAAGAGCAGAGAAGAGCATGCAGCTCATGTCAAATGTGTGATCGAAAGACTCAACGAGGCGAAATTGATCATCAACAAGAACAAGTGCAATTTTTTCAGCACACAGATCTCTCTGCTGGGATTCATTGTTGATCTCTTTGGAAAGAAAGTCGACCCTACCAAGTTGGCTAACATTCACGAATGGGCACCACCTACCACCGCCAAACAAGTGCAATCGTATTTGGGTACCCTCAATTTCTTTCGTGAATATATCCCTCTCTACAGTACTATTGCTGCACCACTTGATGCACTTCGTCATAGAGAAGGAACTTTTAAATTATCAAAAGATGAAATGGATTCTTTCATTGGACTCAAGGAACTACTTGTACGAGCTCCCGTGTTATCCTTCCCAGACTTCAGTCGACCGTTCTACGTTGCCACGGACGCGTCCAACGTTGGAATTGGTGCGGTACTGTATCAGTTGCCGGAAGGTGTACCCGAACCGAAGGATATGCAGTCCGTTCCCTCGAACGTCAACTACATATCTTTCATGGCTCGCACTCTGCAGGACCGAGAGAGAAAATATTCCGCTACTAAGAAGGAGTTATTAGCGATTGTTTTCGCATTGAAAAAATTCCATCAATATCTTTGGGGTTACCATTTTACCTTGTTCACCGATCATCGGGCTCTTACTTTTCTTCACTCACAGCAAGATTTGAACCCAATGATGACAACTTGGTTTGACACCATCATGGCTTACTCGTTCAACATTGTTTACCGTCCTGGAGTACTCAATGTGTTACCTGATGCGTTATCTCGTCAGTTCCCTCAGAAGTTGTGGACTGACAGGCCTAAGTTGAAAACACCAATGAAAGTGTACGGCTACATTCATATGCTGAAAGACAAATCGGTTCCTAGAATCACTGTCGCAGCGAAAGACCGTCCTTCACTCATGACTGAGGTTCACTCCCTCGGTCATATTGGTGCGAACAAAATGGTTGACAAAATTCACGCCCAAGACAAGACGTGGCCATTCATGGTCAAGGATTGTCTTGAGCACGTCAAACAATGCCCTGAGTGTCAACGCATTAATATCACTCGCAAAGGGTACCATCCCCTCAAGGCTATTCATGCACATTTACCAGGCGAGCATATGACTGTAGATCTCGCTGGTGAATTCCATTTGTCCTCGAAAAACAACAAATATCTTCTCGTCCTGACAGACGTATGCACCCGCTTCGTTATTTTGAGAGCTATACCTGATAAAACAGCCGCTACTGTTGCGACCACGCTGTTTGACATTTTTACTCTGATCGGATTCCCCCGAGTCCTTCAATCAGATAACGGAAAAGAATTTTCCAATCAGGTCACAAAAATAATGACAGAACAATTGGGTATCCATCACCGTCTTGTCACACCCTATCATCCGAGAGGCAATGGACTAGCCGAGAACCGGGTTAAAGCGGTCAAAGAAATTCTTCGAAAAGAGACCAAAGGCAAAAACCACGAGTGGGATCGTCATGTTCCCATGGCCCAATTTGCCCTCAATGCAAATATTGCGAGTTTGCATGGTTCCACGCCTTACTCTCTTTTCTTCGCACGCAAGGAAAACGGACACTACAACTACACTGACCCCTTGAACCAGGTCATGTCCCACGAAGACTTGCTGAAGAGACTCGAATTTATGACTACGATCGTGTTCCCCGCTATTGAAGCGAAGGCGAAATCTAATCAGCGGAAAATGATTGAGAGATTCAATAAAACGATACTGCACAGCGAATTTCCTGATGGTTCCACAGTTATGGCGGTTGATCCTATCAAAGGAGACTCCCTCTCTCCGAGATATGAAGGACCGTTTACTGTTGTTCGTAAAAACAAGGGCGGTGCATACATCCTCAAAGATGGCACTGGCTCTATGCTTGGTCGTAACTATGCGCCCTCGCAGCTCAAACTTGTATATGAAGACCCAGACTCTTTCCTTACGTACGAAGTCGAGAAAGTTCTTGACGCTCGTAGTACAAAGGAAGGGACATGGGAGTACTTTGTCAAGTGGAGAAATTATTCTGATAACGACAACACCTGGGAACCAGAGGACAATTTTGTTGAGAGGAAATGCATCACGGACTATTGGGCCGATCACCCACCCCGTAATGAGGATCCTCGTCCGCACTCTCGTCATGATTCGCAAACGGATCAGCCAATGCTTACTACCGACGAACTAATGAGCGAACCTCAAAGTAGCAATCGCTTGAACACAAAGAAGAACAAGTTCACACCTAAAAAAGGTGAACACAACCTTAATCGCAATAAGCTCACTCAGTCCAGTCAATCAAAAATCAATGAGTTGAGACCTAGAACTCGTTCTCGGATCGAGAAGGATTGAAGACAATCATATCCTCCGATTGACACATAAAACGCATCGACGTTTTGTTTGAACAGAAATCGCTCTGACGATTTGTTCGAGGTTTTTTAATGGTGTCACAACCTTTTTCCTCACAATAATAACATACATCTGCAGAGGTTTTCTCGCTTTCCTCTTGCAATCAAATTCACTATATTGAGGTTTTTATTTTTTCCTCACAGCTTATCAACTTATCTACCGAGGTTTTTATTTTTTATCCTCACACACACATATACACATATTCTACTGTAGTCATTATTGTCTTTTCTACACCTGCTCTCCAGGGCTTTGCCCTTCCAAGGTTTTTTCGATTTTTTCCCTTACACCCCTTCTTTCATATGAGGTTTTCTTTTTTCCCTCAAACATCCAAACGACAACTCTTTCGTTTAGTCATAGCACTCTACTCCACGTCGTTTTGTCAGTTAGTAAGAAGCACACACAATTACTAGCATAGATACACTACTTCTAGCCCTAGTCTTAAACCCGGCTTACAGCCTCTCCCCCCGTGGAGGGTTATGTGCTATAATCACGTGTATCATTAGGACGAAGAGTACATAAGGACTCTTCGTCCCTGAATTAAACAGATCCCTCTCTTTGTTTCGTTATTCCTATTCCCATCATAACCTTTACTATCACAACCCCGGTTATTATTCTCCAGTAACAGAGCAAGGGTGTGTAAACAAATGAAAGGCATGGATAAGAGAACAGAGAGAGACAAGGGTGCTAGAGACAAGAGGCAGAGGCTAGAAAAGGTCTCGTTTATTGTACAGGGGAATCAGGGTATTTATACAGTGGGCTGCCGGTATGGTGATGTGGTTACTGTAGATGGGGATAGGGATGTGGTTGAGGTCAGGTGGTTCATGTGGATGTGGTTGGGGGCCAGATGGTCAACTGCTATGATACTGTTACAGACAAGAAACAACACAAGGGTCTCGGTGGGTATTGTTGTCTCCCATGTTCAATAGATTATGATCTACAGGGGATCAAGAAGAGCCCACCGTCATTTTCTGTGCGACTGTGTGGAGTGAGCATCCGAACTCTCCACTGGGCGATGAAAAGCGGCGACGGCATCAAGGAGCATGGCTCAAATACTTTCCCAATACATCGAGTTCCCAGGATGGACCTGTACCGATTCGGTACAAGCGTATGTCGACCGCCTCAAGGAGCAGCTACCAGATAACGTATCTAAAACGATTGTGGATGCTCTTATCCCTTCCGCAGCTGTGGAAATGTTGCACAAAAGACCTATTGTAACGGCTATCGAGGGAATGCTCGAGATCCGCAAGGGGGATACTGCCATCGACAAGACGGAGACCATGATTACATCTTGGAAGGATCGACAGCGCCGAGGAAACTTGTGTGGAGAACGTAACCGGTAAGTTGCTCTCCTTATCATCTTATTCGAACTTGCCTATGTCTCATGTCACTGCTTACTGCTACATTACTTTCTCCTAATCTACTTGTCTCTTTTTCAACACTCGCCCTAGTGTGGAGACCAAGATAGCTGACCACCCTGACCTCTTCACTTCATGCTCCTTGATGAGAGAGACGCTGGGGCTCTTTCTTTTTCGCCATCAGTTACTGGACGCTCCCTCGACGGTGCTTGAGAGTGATGTCCAGCTGGCGGAAGCAGCGCTTGGTCGTATCAAGCTCTTTGGAGGCGCCGCGAGGGCTGTTCTCGACGAACCACTGGCGTTGAAGGTGACCATCAACTACTTCCAGGAAAGGGACTTGTCATTCATATCAGCAGCAAAACGGGCGATGCTATACTTGGACAAACCCTCGGCACATAGCAGCATGTGGGACGTCATCTGTCTTTATTGAGACGTTCCAGAGTCGACCATTTTCTTCGTGTCCTTAGTTGACTACCACTTCTCTTCCAGACAAGCTCAAGGGGATGTGACGATTGTTGGATACGACGATCAGCAACCAAAACTCGCCATCTCACACAAAAACATCACCACATAGCGTTTTATGAAGTCACGTCGAGAACAACTCCAAGCAGGGCGATCGGGATATCCCTCCATTCTACTTCCCAGCCCCTCATGTTTCAGGACCCGACATCATCTTTTTGTCAAGATCAACGATTGCATATGCCCCGTCTTTGTGCAACTGGTATGTCAACTTGAGATAACATAAAAAGAACAGGAGCAATGAAATGATCGAATGCACAGTATGCTCAGTACTTACAGCCTTATTGTCTTTTCGTCTTTAGGAAAGGACTGTCGAATGCAACGACCATGGCGAATGGAAGAAGACCATCGAGGATGCAGAGGACAGGCTGGTATCTTGGGCGCATCGGCACATCAAAGGTAATTTGTGCTATGAGATATCTCGCCTCCACGACAAACACAACAAATACAAGGATCAGCTTGTGGAGTCTATCGACGGCATGCTGGGCCTCCTTATGTATCAGCATTGCATGTTTGGGAATCACGACCTTGTCCTGAAGGAGGTAGACCCTCAGTTGGTGGAGCATGCGTTTGGTCGGATCAAGATCATTCAAGGTCTTGCTGTTACCGTGATGGACGAGCCTTTGTTTCCAAGGCTGTCGATCCCTATTTCGCCGCCATCGATCCCTATTTCGCGAGGGAAGTGCATGTAATATGAACAGCTGGAGAGAGGAAGATGATGAGAAAGAAGCTGGGGTCTTTATTGAGCCCTATGAGAATATATATAACACTACTACCCTTAATAGAGAATGAGGAGTGAGTGGACAGACACTGAGATGCAACAGCTCTCCTCCCCCTGTGAGAACGAGGCACGAGTTCGTGGACAAAGAATAGCAGTGAAGTGGATGTCAACGAAATGACTTTCTTTTTTTTTTTTTTTTTTTTTTTTTTTGGGTATTTATGCTTGTAGCAAGGTACTCCATGAAAATGACCAATTGTATAAAAGCAAGTGTTCTAGTGTCCCTTTTGAATATCAAGCAGAAAAGAAGAATGGTGTCCATTGTCCTATTATCCGTGCTTGCTGTATCAGCCTTTGAGCAGGATATTTACAGGAACCAGAAACTTCAGGTCAAAAAAACCAGAAAAATAGGATGGTTTTATTTCTCAAGCTCAATTGTTTGCAATATATATTTTTGGGGAATGATTCATAAATAAAAGAAAGGATGGAAAGGATGAGAAACCGACCCTCAAATATTTTTTTGGAAGAAAAAAAAGTCTAGGCGTATGATGAAAGGTGTAAATAGGAAAGGGGGTAGACTACGCTAGCTTGTATTGAGTATATACTAGGAGTATTTAGTAGATGGCAGAGAAGATGGTGGAGTTGGAATTGTCGGCATTGTCAGTGGGAACAGACAAAGATTCAACAGTGTCCTTCTTCTTGGCACCACCGGCAGCCTTGACCTTAACATCCCAGCATGAGGTGTACCACTCGTCGATTTTAAGCTCCCAGCGCCACTGGATCGTGTAGGTACCGGGCTTACGGTTAGCTGGTATCTTGAAGCATCCACCACAGGGAGTTTGTTCATCCTTGACGGTGCTACAGTTCTTGAAGGAGAGATGGGCAATGGTCATCTTCATCAAGTCAGATTGCTTAGGGTCCTTGGTGGTGATGGAAGGAGGCATGTTAATAAAGACGCCACTTTCCCTCTGATCCTTGCCATTGTGGCTCTTTCCGGGCCAGCGGACACACATGGTATCACCAGCCTTGGCTACAGCCATTGGACCGAAATTGCCACCATAGGACTTTGAGACTGGGTTCTGGCGAGACTCATCAGCACCAACCGTGAGACCCTTCTTGCCATCAGAGCAGGATGTGAAATCCTTGGGGTCCTGTCGGTATTGACGGTGAGGGTTATTGTCAGAGTCACGGCCACCGAATTTGGTTCCTGACTTGTATGGGAACTTGCGGGCATAAGCAAAGCATTTGCCATCCCTATTAGACCAACCTATTGAATTAGTATATGATAAATAGAATGAGAGCGTGATCGGGTTAATATTTTCGAACCGCCACATTAAATTTTTCAGTGAGGAAAAGAAATGAGAGTTCCAGGCACAAAAAGAGGGGGAAGTGTGAAAGAGTGTTTTACGCACCAGGCTTCTTAGGGTCATTGAATCTCCAGTCGACACAGTCAGCCCAAGAGTGAGCTTTAGTCATAGTGGCCAAGAGGGCAACAGTCAAAGCTGCGACCAAGGCGAAGAGGCTAGTTTTAGCGAGAGCAGTCATTTTGATGGTAATGGGAAAGATTGCTTGCGGAAAAGGGTTTTTTTATATTGTTTGTAAACGAAGTTGTAAATGGTAGTGGTGAGGAGGTGGTAGTTTTCTCAAAGTCTGAGAAGAGTGAAGTGGATGTGTGTGTGAGTGTGGAGAATTGAGGGTGCTGAAGAACAAAACAAGTTGGGAGAAAAGAACCTTTTTATGCAATTCTTGTTTTGTTTTGTTTGTTTGTTTGGTCATTTACCAAGAGATTTGCACATGTATATAATTTCCGCCTTGTAGTTGGATCTTTGGTATATTGAGAACAAGCTACCAAATTCCGAACTAAGCCAATGAAATTTCTTATTTCTCCAATGTACACAAAAATTAATTGTATTATTCTCATGGTATGGCAATTAGGTGATCAACATCGCTTGTCGCTCTTCTTGGTGCCTTGTACACGGAAAAATGTCATTACTTTGAATGCGTTACTGGTCTTATGACAATGTAGGACAAATATACTGATCTTTTGTATATATTCTATTATTTTTTTCCATTACTTTGCCAATTTGTTCGTGATTCTCGTGAGCCTTTACTCTTCTTCGCCGACTCTCACAAGCATACATCTATGCTTTCTTAATATTGGTTGCACAAAGAAAATTTCAAGGGAACTGAGGAATTATTGGAGGCCATAAAAAGCAGCTATGTAAAGTGCTCCAATCAATTGATCAACCAAAACGCGATTTCAACTTTTTTTTTGAGATGCTCTTTCATCATCTTTGCAATCAACCCAGGGATACCACTTGATGATTCCTAGACTTCGTGGTCATTCTTCTGTTGCAACTATATCCGCGTTGGCAATGACGTCATCATGAAAAAAAATTGAATTCAAAAGGTTTGGTTGATCATGTCGCATATTCGTCTAATGGCACCCTATGATAGATGGAGACAATAGACTAGACCAGCATAATAGACTCCACAAGCTGATCCTTGTATGTGTTGTGCTTGTCGTGGAGGCGAGATATCTCGTAGCACAAATTGCCGTTGATGTGTCGATACGCCCAAGATACCAGCCTGTCCTCTGCTTCCTCGATGGTCTTAGACATCGACTGGAAAGAGCCATTGAACTGGTCGCCAAGGAACTGTGCCTTATCGTTGATGACTAGGAGTCTGGTGTCATCCTTGATCTTTGGTAGACATCCGCGCTCGACAAGGACTCCCTTCGCATCCTCGTACACGTTGTGGGTCAGCAGCGAGAGAGGGTTCAAGCCGTGATGTTTAAGATCAAGTAGCTTGAGGAACAGTGCATTGAAAATGTCACGGAACAGCACATGAGGGCACACCTGCAGGAGAGCCCATCGAGCACGCTCAAGCAGTGCTTGAAGACGAGAAGCCGAGAGAGAAACAGCAAAAGAGTTATCTTCCGTGTATAGGTGTTGTTGGCCTCGAGATCCACGTCGGTGTATGATGCCTGGGGATCCTTCAAGTGATCGCGGACGAAACCATAAAGTGTCATCATGTCGCCTTATCCTCAGTCGTTATCGGCAGCGTTGAAGTAGAACCTCCAGTGCTGAGACAGGAGCTCGATCACAGCGCGCGTCTTGCCACAGCCTATATGAGCACAAAAGAGCGCAAATGATAGTCAATACCTTGCCTCAAAGCTGTTGAGAGATATCCATAAAGCGCATGCTGCAGCAAGTGGCTCACCAGAGACGTCGAACACTTTCTCATGAGAATGAAAGAAAGAAAAAGACAGAAAGATGTAAGTGCAACGGACAATTGCAATGAATAGGAAAACATAGCCAGTGTCATTCGCGCTGACTTTCTTACTGGGTATATGGTAACGATTATTATCCTTCACAAGCTTGAGAATAGATCCAGCCGCGAGATTCCTTGATGTCGAGTCAGGTGTAGATGGGTCGCGAAGGTCCATGAACAGCAGACTCGGTCGCGTTTCTTGCGGTTTTCCGAATCCGCGACGCCACGCTCTTGGTAAGCCACGAACGGATCATGAAGTAATAGGTAGCGCCCCTTCGCCCTTCACAAACGCGTCGAGAAAGTTGGCAATCGGTCCTGGTACAAAGAACTTGTCTGTGATCCTATTGATGTTAGCATGGAGATCGCCTAGTTGCATAAAAGAAAGAAGGGCAGGGTATGAGACAACTGAATGCTAGACAATCACGACGCATTCAAAGGGACACGCAATGGTGCATACCAGACAGTGGGGTGCTAGGACGAGAACCATCCGAAAGAGACCCAGGGAGGGGAGTCAAGGCTCAAGAAGGGACAGGTGCATGGACTGTGTTGGTGCAAATGGATGAGTGCTTTAGGTTAGTGCATGGACAAGAGTCGACGATGCAAACAGCAAGTCACAAAAATCAATAAACGCGTGCGTGCATTACCTTGAGGAGGGCGCTGAACGATGATATGAATGGTATTTTTGGGCGGCTTGTCTGGAAAGACTTCCAACAGGCCACGCATCGCTCTGAGTTTATTGTCCTTGCTGTTGACGTTGTCAAGCACAATGGGGATCTCGTCGTCGTCGTCATCGGAGACAGGAATCGAAACAGACCAGATGGTGAGGTCCTTTGCAGTAATATCGTCAAACTGAGGAGAAAGAGCAGCTTTGACCAAGTCTTTGAGGTCACCAATTGTCTTGGTTGACTCAATCTCGATGGGGAACGGGGTCGATTCGCCATCGACAAGACAGAACAGGCTCAGGCGGCGAAGCATCAAAAGAGAAGAAGGTGTTAGGATGAGAGATATGTTGTGAAGGAAGGTGAAAGAGAGGGACCGGTGTGGGTGAAATACTAATTAACTGATTCATTCGATTCAGGCATTTCGATTCCGACGATGATCCGATGTCGGTCCATACAAAAAGAAGCAAGTGGTAATGAATGAAGCTACGAATCAAGAGAATGAATAACAAGAATCTGGGGGCCGGTCCGAACATTGGTGAATGAGCATATTCAAAAAAAGTCGAAATCGCAAAAAAGATGAATCAATTTTTTGGAGCACAGTAATTGAACTTAGTCTGAGAGGAACCGTTCATTCGGATAATTGGTATTTGGCACTGCCTGAGCAGGCAATGGCCCGAAGCTATTATCCGTTGGGTTATGGCTGAACGCCTCTAAGTCAGAATCCGTGCTAGAACGCGACGATTACTGCCTTTTCCGATTTTTAGTTGAATACAAATAGATCCTCGGCTCCTGAATCATACTACGTGGGGTTATCTTGCAGAGCGGAAAGGCCTTGTGAGGTTACTGCTAATGTTAATTTCAAATATTGGAAGAGATAAATCCATTGCAAATGACTTTAATTGAACGGGGTAATGTAAGCAGTAGAACAGCTTTGTTGCTACGATCTGCTGAGCGGCCCCTTCATGTGCAGAGGATATAAAAAGGCATATAAAAAATATCCAAAGTCCAAGGAACGGAGTGTTGACTTCCATAACTGGCATATCTCTTCATAGTGGGCAACAGAACACAGAATAAAATAGCAATAGACAGCACAAGAATTTTTAAAATGTAATCTCTCCCCTGTATTTCACGACAAAGATACAGTTGAGAATACAAGTGCTTTAGATGATCACATACAAGAACTACTCTGTCGAATCTTGCAGTGAGGGTTACAGGTTAATAGTAGATGGACATATTCAAGAGTTTGGTGTGCGAAAAATAAGAAGACTTTGTTGTTTGGAGAATAGGTTGGTGTTTAGTAGGATAGTTAAACAAAAAATGTTACAATGGTTGTCTTATATGCTTGGTATCATATATACATTCTCCTCTAATGGACGCGGTGGATATCGTCAAGATCTGCAGAGATGTAACAAACACCATATGATAATTTGGACTTGAAAGGCCTCCTGAGGTTAAGCCCATTGTTCTATAGATTTGTTCAAAAGAACAACATCTTCTCTCTCTCTTTCTTTCTCTTTTTTTTTTCTTTTCTGCTTAAGGGTTGTTGAAGAGAGTTGGAAGAGGATGGTCGATATGTCTGGCGCCTGCCCCGGCCCATACCTTCAACTTGTTGGTGCGGAAATTATGCTGTATCTTGTGTAGCACTCGCGATGGAAAGAAGATTTTCGTTTCTTTCCGATCGCATATGCTATATTGTGGTGCGCTGGAATTGTTGGTGGCTTGATACCCCTTAAGTCGAGCCGAATAGTATAGAAGAAGCCTGCTCGAGGTCAGAGAGAACAGCACCTTTCTTTCTTGATATCGAGCAGGTATGTGCAATGCTGTTCTTGTTCCTAGCAGTTTTGGTGGGAGCGTTTGACATAGCATAGTCCGAACATTAAAAGCACCTTTCTTTCTTGATATCGAGCAGCAACGTTGAAAGTGTCAGAGTCTACAGTCGTTTTCCCTTTATACATTCTCTGAGTTACACACACACACATACATATCTACACACAAACTACCACACATATACACACATATACACACAAACTACCACGCCTATACACGCATATACACATAAATACGTCTTTTCTTTTTCCTTTCCATGAGCGACAAAGACACTGGAGACACCGGGTCATCCACACCTCTGCAAGAAGGGGCAATCCTCCCTTCGCCTCCTCTCGATGGTATCTGCCGTGACACTTCGACCCAGGCATCTCAGCCCCCTCAGACAACCACAATATCTGTGTCACGTGGTTTCAACCTTGTGGGAGTTTTGAAACCCCGGGTTCAGAGACAGAGCAGCTGATCACTTCCATCTCCACCCTCTTTTTCGACACAGAAATCCACCTCAACATTAATGGGTACCTTGCAGCACCGTTTCAGCAATGCCGCGGATTACGACAGGGCGACCCGCTATCACCACTACTCTATAACATCGCGTTCGAGCCCCTTCTTCACACCATCCTACAGTGCCCTGGAATATCTGGTTATCGACTCAACAACAGCCCTACAGCGACCCTCTTGAAGCTGATGGCTTACGCTGACGACCTTACCACCTTCATTAAGTCGACGGAGGAGTGGCGCTGTCTGAAGGAGATCATGGACATTTTTGGGCGTGCCTCGAATGCTAAGCTCAACTTGAAGACGGTCGCATTTCCCTTGCACAGAACGGTCGGCGAACTTTCACAGGCTCTTCAGCGGGATCACGTCGTCATCCATTCCACTCGTGTGGACAACGCTCTGACCTACTTGGGCTACCCCCTCGCCCTCAACACAGCACAGCGGAACACATTTTTCAACAACATCCACAAAAAAATCGAACACCATATCAACATACACCAAGGTCGTCAGCTCTCGGTTCTAGGTCGAAGCACCATCGCCAACTCACTTCTACTTTCTCGCCTCTGGCATGTCATTGCTGTCCAGCCTCCGACACGCCAGTGGATAAAGAAAGTCTAGCACGATCCGCAAGTTCACAGTCTCTTTTTTTCCCGCCCCTTCCTGGAACCACCTCTGCCTCCGTCGGTCTCAAGGTGGTCTTGGTCTCGTCGACATTGCCTCTCAGAGTGCTGCGTTTCAACTCCGGGTGGTGCACAAAATTAGCTCCGACACACGGTCGTTCATGGTCCCCTTCCTCAAGGATCTCCTTTGCTCTGCCTCAGAGTCAGAGCACCCTCTGGCTTGCTTTGCCAGCCCAGATTTCTTTCTCACGCCAAGGTTCAAGCACTTTCGACCGCATACAGTTTTCAAGGGTCTAATACAGGCGATCCAGCTGGTTCCAAGGCTCGCATGGGATCAAGAGTCGGCCGAGACCCTACCGGTCGGCACCATGATGGCTACCCTACTCCCCCTCTGGCTCAAGGCAGACAATGTCCCTCGGCCACATCCACCCAACTGGCGCATGGATCGTGTGTTCAGACCTGTTTGGACCAACGAAGCAAGGACAGAAGGTACCCTGGCCTTCATCCCCCGTGCCGAACGCACCACAGGCCACCGATCACATCCAGGTCTGGAGGACAACCATGCCCAGGACCGTTTCAAGGCTCACCCCACTCTGCAATGCGCACTGGACACACCGGGTCCGCTATCACTATAAAATGATCTTGCAGAGCGCCTTAATGAAATCACCATCACCCAATCGGAGAACGGTACCCTTGGACTGGCCAGTACAAGGAATTTTCGACGAGCAATGTTCTCCAAGGTTTACCAGCCCCCGACACCACCACCCCATCACCCACCAATGATCGCACCTCACCCACCAATGATCGCACCTCACCCACCAATGATCGCACCTCACCCACCAATGATCGCACCTCACCCACCGCTGACGCCTGCCTTTTGGAACGAGTTCTGGAAGAACAAGCTCCCTCACAACGCACGCAATGTCTGGTGGCGCCTGCTGATCAATAAGCTCCCGTCTGGTAGTTTCCTCAACTCTATCCTCCCCGACATGGTCGAGAGCCCTATTTGTCGCATCTGTCAAGTGCACATGGAGACGAGTCGGCACCTCCTCTTCAGCTGTCCCAAGAAGCTGGAGATCTGGGAGAGAGCACTCTCGAGATATGTGAAGGAAAGAACATGGACAGCTGACTTCGTCTGCAGCCTCTTTTCCCCCAGCCCAGAGTGCATTGAACCCCGCGACGGTTTCCCTCTTTTTCTCCTACTCGGCGCCATCCTGGCCACCGTCTAGAGATACCACTTTGCTTTCGTTCTCGAAGGCCAGGCCTTCGAACCTCGGATCGTCCTGGCGGCTGTGGACCTGGCCGTCACCCAGGCCCAGCTGGCGGAGAAAAAACGTCAGAACGAGAAACAACAACCACCACCCCCCGTCGGGCCGCCCCCTGCCGACACCAACCACCCTACCTAACCTTCTTGTACTCTATCCATCTTTGTAATTTATCTATTATGTTTTATCCTTCGGTTTTCGGTACACTTATTTTTTCCCAGTGTGGTGATGTGAACGGGAATCGTTCTCTCACTCATGATTTTGTTCGATTTTTTTTTTTTGGAGGGAAAAGAGAGGATTTATTGTGGCTTAAACAGCCTTGATAGAGTTATTTTGTGCTATGGTTTTGGTGATTTCGCGAAGTATGGTGTGGATGATATCGCTACTAGATTGAGTGTGTTGATGAAGAAAAAGAACGGTGTTGGCTGATGAAATACCAATGAGGCAACAAGCCAGCAATTGTGGGATAGTGATGTTAAATTGGGGTTTGATATCAAAGGTTGGAGGATGGAAAGACAAGACCTTATCAAGGTCATCATCTGACCAAAGTGGTTTGGATGTGTGTTCCTTGAGGATTGTTTGCCAAGCGATGTATTTAGGAGCGCACTGAAAGATGTGATGCGCCTTGTCCTCACGTCGCTCACGACATCCGGCCATGTTACAATGAGGATCCTGCTTCCAGATTTTTTGACGTAGAGTTCCGCAAGGAAGCCAATCCCTTTTAAATCTCCACCACGTGGTCCTGGCCCGGTGTGGTATTTTAGCGCTCCAGAATTGGCGCCACTGTTTCGAGGTTCCCGTCTCTGGTTGGGTTGAGGAGTTTGGGTTTGGTGGTGTGTCTTGCCTCAAAAAGGCTCGAAGGTGTTTGTTCGTGGCCGATTCCAGAGTGATGGGATTACTGTCGTTTGGGATCAAGACAGATGAGAGGATATGCTGTGCCAATGTATCATCCTGCGTGATCTTGGGTGGGTTCGAGAGTGCTTGCTGCATACTGTGGCGCATTCGACGACGTTCTTGGTAGGCCTGGATCCCTAGTTCCACTTGAGCAAGGCGGAGCTTGGGGGAAAGGTGTGTTTTTCTGACCAGTTGGAGGAGCCCATTGTTGTCAGGAGAAAACTGAAAGAGCTCTTCCACTCGGAGTCTGAGGGTCTTGATGGTGGTGTTGCGTATTTGCCTTGTGGATCATAGATAGATGAATACATGAACTAGCTAGAACTAAGCCACCAGGAACGACATAAGAGATCGTTCCTGGTGGGCCCTAATACAACCTTCTTCTTGTCTCGTTACTTACAAAGTGAGTCTAAACCTTATTTTATCGCAGTTTTTTTAACGAATCCAAGTGGTTTGTTTGTATTGTTTTTATCTATCCATTGAACTGTTTTTGCATCCTTGGTGCATTCAGTTTCAATCCATCAAGCTGTTTATACATCCGTTGTGCATACAGTCTTGTCGAGTTGGTTGTACATCCTTTGTGCATCCATTCTCTTTCAATCCACTCTCTGGTTCTTCTAGAGTAGTGATTGACGTACGCACCACAGGTTCAATCCCGTGTGTATCGTACTACTGTTCTTTCTTTCTTCGGTTCTTCTGGAGCACTGTCAAATTGTGACTGTGGTGATTGAACTACGTTCCGCAGACTCAACCCCTGTGTGTATCGTACTTGTTTTTGATCGATTCATCTCTCTAGTTTGCTTTCCCTCAACTTTTCTGTTGAGTGATCTTTTCGCTTCGTCATTATCTTGTGTCGTCTATCACTCCGGTGTGCGAAGCATATAGACATAGACGTTTGTGCAGCAATTCATAAATAAAGAACGTTTATCGCCTTTACCTTTCCTTTTGTTCGTGATCGCAATCGTTGTATTGTCGAGACGCCAAAAAAAGAGATCAGTGAATCAGAATCATCAAGTTTATTTTATTTTTTGTTTCTTTGCTCATTCCCTTCTTTGTCCCTCACTCTCGTCATGACTGTACTTAGGACAATGACTCTGAGGAATGGGAAGAGTGTTGCAAAGGAAGGTACAAGTGGTACCGACGATGCAGAGGCTGTCGTGGAGGAAGCCATGGAGTCCATGAGTATTGCTCAGGGAGAATCGTCGCAGACGGTACAACCCAGCGGAGAGGTCGACATGGAAGTTGACGACGAGGCGGAGAGCTCATTGAGACAGGAATCCCCCTCAGTCGGTCATACACGAGGTCAGTCTGGCGTTCTGCCCGTAATCACAGCGGAGTATTGCCAGGAGCAGGTTAATAATCTGGGGCAGCAGTTGGAGATTCATACGGCAACAAAGGGACAACTGACGGCAATGATGATGATGAACGGTGGAGGAACCCCGGAGCAGAGCCAGAGGATGGGCCAGTTGCAGGATACGGTCCGCAGCATCAAGGCGCAGCTGGAGTTATGGGAGTCGAGTCTAGATGATATGAACTTGGCGAGGAAAGCCAAAGCGAGGACTGTCCACAGCACCGCATCGTCATCGTCTACACCCAGCTTCCCAAAGTCCTCCTATGGCGGGAATGGCACTATGGACGACAAGCAGATTGTGCTTCTCAATGTTATGCCCAGGTACCATCGTAAGGTGCCAGATCATGAGATGCCTAAAGTCGACGCTAAGACGTCCGGTCCTATCCGAACTTCAGTTCGCTGTTTCCTGTATGAGTTTCATACCCAAGGTAACCTTGCCTACGGCACTACGACGTTTGAAAAGATTTGTTATCGTTTATTAGCGTTGGCGAATCTAGATGTCAAAGTGCAGGATGCATTAACAGGAGCGAGGAAAAAGGATACGGGTCCGGCGTGGACGTGGGATCAGTGCGAGCAGACATTCGTGGATTGCGCCATGACTCTGCATGAGAAGACGTCTGAGGTGGAGGAGTTCGCCAAGATGGGCAGAGAGAAGACAGAGTCTTTTAAGGAGTATGAGCTGAGATTGCGACGGCTGGTCGATGCAACAGTTGAACCTCCGATCAGAGTAGCTTTAGATAAATAGACACACACTACCATAATACATCCACATCTCTTACTTCCACTCCTCCTAAAGTTGCATGGTAGCAAAGGTTCACGAATCCACTGACCAGACCCCAGACCCCCCAGTACAAACCCCAGACCCCTCCAGTTCCCCTGACACCTCACCCAGCACCTCTTCCATCCCCTCGCCCTGTCTTCCCCCTATCGACACGTATTTTATCACAGATTTTTTATCGGAACTCACCATCATGAACAACGACAACCAATCCCTTCCCACCATCATTGAACTCGACACCACCTCCAAACCCGCCAAGTATGACGGCACTCGCGATGGCTTCAAATGCCTTGCGTGGCTAAAGGAGGTGCAACGCTACTTCACCATGAAGAACGTACCTGACAGAAAACGCACCATTCATGCCGTCAACCTCCTTAACCAAACCTCTCTCCTCTGGTGGGAATCCCTTAACATCGACGACACCTGCGAGTACCTCACCTTCACAACCTTGTTCAAGAAGGCATATATGCCTGACGGCTTCCTTGAACACGTCCGCGGCCTCCTCCTCAATGCCAAGCTCACCACCAACCTCGCCGAGTACCTTACCCGCATCCGCCTCTACATGAACATTTTACTTGCGGAGGATCCCACCGGCCGCGTCTTCCTTGAATCCACCGTCAGAGTTGTTTTTCTCCAAGGCTGCCCCGACGACCTGAGGCAATTACTTCAGACTGATCAGGTATCTAACCCCAACAACACTTTTTTCGACATGTGCTCCAAGGCTGAAGGATTTGACACCATCTATGCTTTCGGACCCAGAGGCGCCACCAAGGGTATGTTCGCCAAGGCTATGAATAACATCCGCTCACAAACCCCGACCTCCAACTCAGCCCCAACCTCCGCCCCCGCCTTCGACCCAATGGCGATGGAGATTGATAACATCAGTGTCGACCCCACCACCCGCGCACTCATGTCCTCGGTCCAGTCCCTCACTATCGCTGTCAACGCTATGGCATCTCAGTTCAACAACCAGCAACAGCAACAAAACCGCCCGCGCCTTGCCCGCCTCACCGATGAAGAAAGACTATACTTGGAGAACAACAACGGCTGTTTCAAGTGCCGCCGACCCAATGCCGGACATTACTCCTGGGACTGTGGGAAAAACCGCAATACGCCCCGACCTCCCAGGTCCCAGGCCGTCAACAACATTGCTTACGTGGGCAACCCCCCAACAGACCAGTCGGGAAATGCCCCCAGCAACTAGGTGCAGTCCAGGACCCAGTTGCTGAAACCCCCTCCTTTTACCCCAGCGGTGAAGGGAGTGCTCACACACCAGAGTTAAGTTCAAAAGAAAAAATAAAAAAGTCGCCAGATCTATCAGTTGAAAGTACTTCTAGCCAAACTCAGATTTCAAACTCAATTCGTGATGCTCACTCCCCCCCCACCCTGGCACCTTCACTGGACCAGACCCCAACCTTTGACTCGTCCCATATTGTGTCTAGAACTTCAGATGGCCCAGACCTGGACCTGACCGCCCCTGTTGTGTCGACCACACCGCCTACGAAGCGACAGTTGAGAAGACGGAGACAAAAGCAATTGCGTCTCTGTTCATTTTCTATCGCCGAGGCTGAGCGCCAACTGCTCACTTTTAATTGCCTTGTCAGCGGCTTTCCGGCTCGCGTGCTGATTGATGGCGGTGCTGAAGGTAACGTGATCAGTACCTCATTTCAAAAGAAAAACAATTTGTCACGAACCGTCATCAACCCCATTCCTGTCCTCCTTCCCGACGGCTCATCCTCCATCACCAACCATACTGTCAACATCACCATCGAACGCAACGGCTACTCCGACACTCTCGACCCCATTCTCTACCCACTCAAGAAATACGACCTGATTCTGGGAAAACCATGGCTCACACACATCAACCCTCAAATCAACTGGCGTACAAATGCTCTACACTTCACCCACAACAACACATCCATCAAATGGGACTGCACAGGATTTAAATCAAACAGCATCCAAACCCGCACCAAAGGTCTCCTCCTCTCCCACCTACACTTTCATACCATGGCTACCCTCCCCGGCTCGGACATATTCTTGGCTCTGGTCAAGTCCTCGAAGGATCTGCAGAAGGACAAGGACAGGAATGACAAGGACTCACCATCGCCACCCAAGCGCCCTCTTATGACACCTGAGATCAGGTCAATCGTCGAAGATGAGTTTAAGGACGTATTCCCCGACACACTTCCCAGCGGCCTCCCACCAGACAGAGGCGATGCGATGAAAATCGAGACAGACCCCACAGCAGACCCACCATTCAAGCCAGTCATTCGCCTCTCCATTGCAGAACTCGACGAACTCAGGAAGCAGCTGGATGAATTACTCGCCAAAAAATTCATCAAGCCCAGTACATCACCTTACGGCGCTCCAGTACTTTTCGTTCGGAAAAAGGATGGCACCCTGCGTATGTGCGTGGACTACCGAGCTTTGAACGGGATCACCAAGAAAAATCGGCATCCACTCCCCAGGATCGACGAGCTAATTGACCGTTTTCGTGGCGCACGTTATTTCAGTAAACTGGATCTACTCTCAGGATACCACCAACAGAGGATCTACGAACCACACACACACAAAACAGCATTCCGATGCAGATATGGACACTTTGAATTTAACGTCGTCCCATTTGGCCTCACCAACGCACCCGCCTCCTTCTCCAACATGATGCTAAGGGTACTCGACCCGGTTTTGGATAAATGGGTTGTTGTCTATCTAGACGATATTCTTATCTACTCTAAAACTAAGGCCGAGCATCTAAAGCACCTTCGCAGCGTCCTCGCCCTCCTTCGACAACATGGACTTTACGCCAAACTCAGCAAGTGTTCGTTTATGCAGGAGGAAACCGAATTTCTTGGACACACCATCTCCAAGGACGGGATCTCAACTTCAGCAGGACTTGTCAAAGCCATTCGGGAATGGCCACGCCCCACCAGCATCAAAGACGTCCAACAGTTCCTGGGCTTGGCACAATTCTACCAGACTTACATCGACAAGTTCGCCCAGATCGCCCTTCCGCTCTCTCAGCTTCTAGCAGGCGGCGCAACTTTTTCATGGGATAATGACAAGGAACAGGCATTTCTCTCCCTTAAAACCGCCATCAGCTCTGCCCCGGTCCTACGCATATTCGATCCCGACTTGCTAACAACCGTCGAGACCGACGCATCCGGATTTGCTATCGGCGCTGTTCTCTTTCAGACGGACGCATCAGGAGTATCCCGACCCGTTGCTTTCACTTCACGGAAACTTCAACCGGCAGAGAGAAACTACCCAACCCATGAGCAGGAGCTACTGGCAGTTGTGCATGCCCTCAGGACGTGGCGATACTACCTGGATGGATCCCACTTTGTCGTGTACACGGATCATGCAACCCTCCGCCATTTTCCGACACAACCAAAACTCACCCGCCGCCAGGCCCGATGGATGGAGCTACTGCAGGAATATGACTTCGACTTCAAGTACAAGCGCGGAGCCGACAACACAGTACCCGACGCCCTATCTCGCCGACCCGACCATCGTGCAGAAGATCCTGTCAGCCCAACAACAGACACAGTCGAGATCCATTCAATCGATATCCAACTTGAACCAGGTGTGAGGCAGCGCCTGATAGAAGACTACCAGAGCAGCCCCAGGCTCAGTCTCGTCTACAAAAGCTGCCTCGAGGGAAGTGCCCCCTCTGGTTACTCTTTTCATAATGGTCTTCTCTACTATGATCGCCGTGGTACCACCGTCCTTGCCATACCACAGAAAGCTGACATTTGCCGCTCTCTTTTACATGACTGCCACGATACCCCCATAGCTGGTCACTTCGGGTTCAGGAAGACATACGACAAACTGCGACGGATGGCATACTGGCCCAACATGGCCAAGGAGACTCAACTCTACGTCGACTCATGCGAGAAGTGTCAACGCAATAAGCCAAGTCAGGAGCGACCTGCAGGACTCCTCCAACCTCTCCCCATCCCCGCCAGTCGCTGGGAGGTTGTGACCATGGACTTTATGACCCACCTACCCAAGACACCCCGCAACCATGATGCCATTACCGTCTTTGTCGATAAATTATCGAAGCATGCCCACTTCGTTCCCAGCACCACCACCGCTACCGCCACCGACGTTGCTCGCCAGTTTTTCGACAATGTCTTCCGCCATCATGGAATGCCAACGACAATCGTCTCGGATCGCGACAGCAAATTCACCAGTCACTTTTGGCAGGAACTTCATCGACTCATGGATGTCAAGCTTGCAATGTCAACAGCCTATCACCCACAAACGGACGGACAGACGGAGGTCATGAACAAGACACTAGGAGTTATGCTACGCGCTTTCATCGACGAAAAACAGACCAACTGGGATACCCTCCTTCCAGCCGCGGAATTTGCATATAATAACTCCGTCAACCACTCGACCGGCTATTCACCTTTTTTCCTCAACACCGGCCAACATCCCCGCATCCCCGCCAGTCTCCTCTCCCACACCGACAGCAACGTACCCAGCGTTCACAACTATCTTGATCAACAGTCGACAGCACTACTTTTCGCACAAGACGCACTACAACGAGCCCAGGATCATCAGAAGGAACAGGCCGACAAGAGAAGACGCGACCACGACTACAAGGTCGGCGACAAGATCCTCCTTAGTGCAGAGAACATCACCATGCCAGCCGACAGTGGACTCAGCTCGGATAAACTCAAACCTCGCTTCATCGGACCCTTTACATTGCTGGAGCAGCGATCACCAGTCACTTTTCTAGTCGACCTACCGCCCTCCTACAACATCCACAATGTCTTCCACGTCGACCTCTTCCGCCATCACATCGAGTCACCACTTGCATTTGGCCGCCGAACATTAGCACCACCACCACCAGTTGTCATCGAGGGCAATGAAGAATACGAGGTCGAGTCCATTTTGCGTTACAGGAAATACCGACGGCAACACCAGTTCCTTGTGTCATGGAAAGGGTACGGACGGGAGGACCAAACGTGGGAGCCCGTCGCCAACCTGGAGAACTGCCGCGACCTAGTTGACGCGTTCAAAAAGGACCAGGGGATCGTTTTTTAAAAGGGGAAGGTGCAACAGTTGAACCTCCGATCAGAGTAGCTTTAGATAAATAGACACACACTACCATAATACATCCACATCTCTTACTTCCACTCCTCCTAAAGTTGCATCGAGGTCTACCGTGTCAAGGAGCTTCCTAAACACACCGATGTCACCCAGACTCTGAGGATGTCAATCCCGTCACTGACTTTGACGGTGATGCAACTGTCTGAGACGGTGAACATGTTACTGAAACATGTGGGTATGGCGGTGCCGGATGTAACGTCGTTGGACTTCCTGATGAACGCGATCCCGACGCCCTTGGTCCTGATGAGTGCTCGGAGTGGAAGGTCTTCATCGATGCGTCGAGGAAGGCGAGAATGTCCAAGGAGAGCGACGGCATCAACCAAGGAGGCAGCCAACACCATAGGCAACATCAGCAAGTAAAGAAGACGGTGGCCGCTCAGACGAATGCAGGAGCATCGTCAGGAAGCAATACCGTCAGCGCCAACAACAACCATAACAGCTACCCAAACGGCCATCAAGGTCAGTATCCCGGCAATCGAGGTAGAGGAGCACCGCAGGGACGATGGCAGAATCGTGGCAAAGGAAGAAGCCATCCGTATAATGGTACGTCCGTTGATCCTGCTTTGCTACTGGACGTTGTTGAAGAACAAGATTGCGTTATTAAGTACAGTGCCATGTCTATTCCACACACACAGGCAATAACAACCAAAGCCAACGAGGATCCTCGTCAGCTTGATGTAACCCCTCTGGTGACGGCGCAGATAGATGTGTTACCCATGGTTGAGTCGAATAAAGTGATGCGTGAGGCGACCAGCAGTAATACTGAAAACAGTATGGAGGGCAATCTTGTTGTAAAGAAGAAAAGGAGAAAGAAGAGAAAAGCGAATGCGGAGTCCCGCTTTGGAATGTCGGTTCATGTAGGTTCACCTCCTCCATCACCTCTCGACGGAGGGGAAGGTGGGAGAAGTGCTGAAATGGCTGGTATTATAAAAGCGAAGATCAAGTATGGGGCAGTTGGTGTAATCAGTAAAGAAGATGATGGTTGCGCTTTTGGCTCGTACGAAGTCGAGGATGACGAACTCGCTCAAGCGTTTGAAAGACACACGCTAAAAGACAACCCTGTTGCAAAGATGTGTGACGGCTACC